AGCTGACATGACTTCTGTTTTTAAATGAATGCTAGCTTGCTGATCCAGATAGAATTTCAAGGAGCATCACATTATGAAAATGGGAAAACCCGACTATCCCAATTTTAATTGGAACACAGACTGAAAAGCACAGGTTTGCGAACGAATATCAATGTTTCTCAACCACTACTAATAACCATCACTTGTAAATTCTTTCAAAACATGGGAAAGAATGCAAGATGGGAAAAGCAAGCTCCATTAAGTCAAATTTACTTTTACATCAGTTTTGTCGTTTTCTAAGGGACAAGCAAAGTCCCTTGAAAGGGACTACAAAGATAATCATTGTAAAGCCCCCCCCCCCCAGTTCTCATCAACGATACCTGGCTGGAGAAGCGGTGTAGCTGCTGAACCCCAGGCAAGCTCACTGCAGTTGCCAAAACTCTAGTGACTAATGATATCTAACAACTGTAACCACCTCCTCACAACATGTCTTTGTTCTCAGGTTTTCACAGATGTGATTCCATATGGAGCTCTCCTAACATAGAATTGTTTCACTACTCCCTGAAAACACACAAGCACTATACCCTCAGAAAACATGCACCTCCTGGGCCTCCCCGGTGGCGCAGTGGTTGAGTGCTGCATTGCGAAGCTGCCAGCAGCCTCTGCAGCGCCGGTTAGATCCCTGACCACCGGGTGAGGTTAATTTTACTCAGGTGACACATGGCGCGCAGACCTCTCCTGCCACCCGCTGCTCCCCTCAACAGTGTACTTCGGTCCTTCTGCCTGCTCTGCTCCCCGCTCTGGCTCTAGTGAATTCTCTCACCCTCCCATGCTTCTGACTGTACCTCAGTGCTTATATAAATAAATAAACAAATCTTTAAAAAAAAAAAAAAAGAAAACATGCACCTCCTTAGCCACTACATCTTCTTTGAGGAGCGGAGTGAGACCACCCCGTAATCAGTGAACATGAGAGGGTTATCTGGCCAAGTCTTGAAAAGGAAAAGGAAGTGCACTGTGTATTTCCTTCACTGTGAGTATGAATAACCACTAATGCTGAGAGAAGCTTAATGTGAATTTAGTGTAGAAATCTTCTAAACTACGGAAAAGTCATATCAGTTGCAATTGACTCACTCCTATATTACATATGTGTTAGAAAAAGATTAGGGGTTATTCAATCACAAAATGCTTCTTTCTAGATTTCATTTTGAAGCAGTCAATTCTGTTAGCAATTTCAAACTTATGCATGGTTTAATGGTTTCATCCTCTTATTCTCTGACAAAATATTTAAATGCAAGTCTATTTCTGCACAAAGATCGACTTTAAAAATAGAAATGAGACCTATTAAAGATAATAGGTATTCAATAGCTCTTAAAATGATTATAATACACTTCAGAAATTAACCTCAGACCAAACTCCACCATGAGACCTATGGATAAGTTCTATGAGAAGCTAGCTAGATTATGAGTATCTTGGAAGTGATAATAAGAGATGTTATAAAATTATTGGGCCATAAGTGTCTCCCTAAGGATCTGCAAGGTACTTCTCCATCTATTGCATCCACTGCAGTCCCCAGGCTATAATTTCACTTAAGGTTGAACATGTAATTGTAAGATGGTATTGCATATTGATAAGCCTGGAGAACAAAGTCATTCCCTTTTAAAGTCATTGTACCAGTTAGCATAGTTATTTCCACCAGACAGTTAAAACTAAGAGGTAAAATGATGAGACTTTCTTATCCTCACAGCTGATTCCATACACAACATGAAAACTGGAACTAAGCCTGCTACATTTGATAAACACCCATGCCACTTATAAATTTTTAAAAGAACAGAAAAGATATAAAAAGAGGTAGAAAAGCAAATCCATCTAAGGTAACTGGGGAAGATAACTGGATAATGAATAAAATAAATGCTCCATAGCAACAAAATAGAAAAGATTATTTATGTAGATTTATAAGTAGATGAGCTCCAGATGTAATTTTTTTTTAACACACTTTCCCCCAGGTGTTTTTCTGCTTAATAAATATAACATCCAAGCTGGAATATTGCTGAAGCATTGAATCACCTAAATTTTGGCTTTGTTGTTCTTCTGCTGTTAACTATTTTGAGCTATTTCTCAATAAGGCAGCCGCTACTGAAATTATAAGTACACGGGCTTGGCAGAGTCAGAGATAAAAAGTGCAGTCCACAGATTTGTTTCTTCTGTTTTCCCAAAACAGAATCTCATAAAAAAATATGCCCTCAAATTTTTGTCACTGTGTAGCTGTCAGAAAGGGAAATTCTGCCCCTCTTCATAATTCTGAACATTAAGCCCATTTCTTGTGCTACTGAGAAGTTATATTGCTCCAGGAAGTCATGAGGCACCATCTCAACTGTTCAAATAGTATCCAGGCAGAAGAATTAGTCAATCAGAAACTTCAGTTCCAGTCAGATAGAAGTTTGGGGCCAACTTGGAAAAGCATACAGAACAAGTTTGACTTTACTGCCAAGATCATTTCCAGGACATTGGCTAATTAATTATAAAAGCTTTTTTTAAGATATTTGAGCCTGGCAACCTTTTTTTCTCTACCCAAACAGAGAAAAAAAACAGGTTAAAAAATAAAAGCCAGGGTTTATTATGGTTTTTGTCATAAGTTCATCTTCTGTTGTTAAGCCATTTTCTTCTCACCCCAAAATGATGAAGGAGCTTTGGTATTTAAGTTACTAAAATAGTAGGTATAGAAACTGGAAACATTAGTTTGAATTTCTACTTTATCTTTGGTTGTGTAAGACATTATGGGTCAGTTCCAAAACTTCTCTTCAAAGCCTGATGGAAAGCAAAGAACAGAGTTTCTTCCTCTTTGAGGGATGAAAAGTTCTTCAGATTAACTATGGTTACCATAAGAGATACAATATAGCTAGAGATTTTCCCTTTAAGATGATACACTTGGGCCTCCCCGGTGGCGCAGCGGTTGAGTGCTGGACTGCGAAGCTCTGCAGTGCCGGTTTGTTCCCTGGCTGCCGGGTGAGGGTCCCACATGGCGCGCAGACCTCTCCTGCCGCCCGCTGCTCCCCTCAGCAGTGTACTTTGTCACTCTGCCTGCTCTGCTCTCCCCTCTGGCTCTGGTGAATTCTCTCACCCTCCCAACCTGCGCTTCTGACTGTACCCAGTGCTTGTATAAATAGATAAATAAATCTTTCAAAAAAAAACAAAACAAAAAGCACTACCTTCAAAAAAAAAAAAAAAAAAAAAAGATGATACACTCATCAACCTCCACTTTTTGCATTTGAAAACAAAAGAAACAAAACTCCTGAACTGAATCTTCCTGGTTTCATCTTAATATGAACCTGGTTGAGCAAGAGATGTGAGTGGTGATAGGCATCAAAGATTTCGGTTTCAACAATCACACAAGCTTATAGCAAAATCAACATTCTAAAATCAAAATGTTCCAACATATTTCTTCTAACACTAGAATCAAAATCTTATGTAATACACATCTGAAGCCATGAAATTAGTTTTGCATATGCCCAAATGTGAAGACACACAAGAAGGTAAGAAAAATCTCTCCGCCAGCATTTATCAGATGCTCATTGGCAAATTCCTTGCAAGAACTATATGTAACAAAAGAAACTTTCCCCCAAAAGTCTGTCAACCAGCTCTATCTGAAACTCTGCCTTGTACAGAATCAAGACCCCTGGCAACCTCATATCAGAACATTGTTTGGCCAAAATGTGCCTGGTACTTCTTAGGGCAATTTTTAGCAAGTCGTAGTGGACAGCATTTTCTCTTTTCTGCTACTAGTTGGTAGCTATTAATTCATCCAATATTTAAATGTTTTTTCTCCTTGATCATTTTAAGAGGTAGGTAAACAGAAGGGAGGAGAGCTATCCATATTAGCATTTGAAGCAATAGCAGCTCCCAGAGTCAAGAGTTAATCTCAATTAACTCTTGAGATTAAAAGGGGGAGGTAATTAGGTCTGACCAAAGAGAGAGTCCTTCTTCAGGGAAATACAAATAAATTAAGATGAAAATGATAACACCAGATTTCAAAGGTACTTAATTCTTAAGTCAGATAGAGAATCCTGAACTTCTCTTAATAGGAAGGTATGATCAGCTTTTGATGCAGGGGAGAAATATGAGTCAATAATATGAAAAGTGTATTGATTTGGGAAAAAACAAAGACAAAGGATTAGTTCTAATGGCTTTTCTAGCAATCTAGGTCTGAGGTGCTAAAGGTACAATTAGGGCACTGCTGGTTAGAAGAATCCAAAACCCTTTCACAACAAAGAACATCTTACTTTCCTGTACTTTTTAGATCTCACCAAGGCCTATAAACCAGTAACTACTACAAGTGCCAGTTAAAGATGAATAACATCATAAATCAAAATTCATTGCCTTAGCAATAAATAATTCGGATGTCCTTACTTATTCAGGTGCAGTTTTAACCTACTTAGTTCAATAACTTGTGTTAGTGTAAAGTACAAAATTGTACTTCACACCATTTTCTAAGCCCAGACACTTACCTAACTGGGAAAATGGCACAATTTCTATCATATTCTTTTCAAAAGAAAGCAAATTAAAATTCAAAACCTGATTGTTCGTTAGTTCAAACAGGTTACTCAATAGACAAAAAATATATAGAGCCAACAAAACAAACATTACTTACCTTCACAACATTCAGCAATTTTAAGCCCTTTATAGGTTACTAGAATACTTCTGTCATAAAATATCTCATTTAAACCTCACAATAATTCTGAGGTAGGGATTATTATTACTATTTCAGATCTGAGACCACTATAACTCTAAGCTATAAATTATCCAAGGAAATATATCTGAAAGAGTTGGCGTCACAACTCTAATTCTTTCTGAATTTCAAATCCTTTCACATACTACTCCTCTTTCCTCAGAGAAAGAGGAACCTTTCTCCTATTTACACATATTGGTTCATTTTAAGTTAGGAGGATCATTTCTGATCTTTTCTCAGCATCTTCTAGATAAACATTTAGTAACACATTTCAAAGAAGCAAGAATTATTTGCTTACCTGGTCCTTCTCTGGTTTATCAGAAATATCATTCAGGCTGGAGGAAGTCAAATTCCTGTGGGCCATGGCTGGGCTACCTGGGAAAACAAAGTGATTCTGAATTACAATTCTTTTCAAAAACATGGAACTTGGCTTTGTTTCATAAACACCAGTAGATGATGATGGAAATGGTGATGATGCTTTAACTACATTAAGATCCTTTTAAAGAGTTTTCCAGAATCCAGCTTGGATCACAAGCACAGTTAAATGAAAAATATGCTAAATCCCAAATATGTTTTAAAGTCTTATTGCCTGTCTCTATTCCAATATAAGTTAAACTTTGAAAGAAATATGTAAAGCAATAAGCATAAAAAATAAATTTATTCCTGGTTTGATCACAGCCCTCTACACATATCCCAATCTACTGGGTGCTCTTTCCCTTGCCTATGCCCTGCAGAGATGAAGAGGCGGCCCCAGGACACAGGCCTGGACTTCCTCTGCCTCAGGTCCCTACAGTCCTGGCTATAACACTTTTCACCTTTCACTCTACCTACCTTTCGTAATCGAAAAAGCTTATCAAGAATATTTCTCATTATTGGGCTTCTGATCAGAATCCCCATTCTTTGCCTCAAAGTTGTGCAATCACAGGTTCCCTTACTTCCTACATTCCCATTTTCTAGCGATAGACTACAATAAGCATGTCCCTTCTGCCTCTTTAACATCTCTCTTTATTCAAATCAAGGAATGAATTTTATAGGACTATCATATGGGAAACAAGTTCTCTGGCAGCTGCTGCAGGTAATATCCACTGACAATCCAGCCAATGACTTTAGACACCATTATACGAGAACAAGAGGAGGGGTGCCTAGAAGAGTGATGGGCCATTTTTAAGGAGATAATGCTAATCAACAAAATGCTTAACTCATTCTTCAGCTGGACCTGAAATTTCTAGGCTTATTAAGCAAAAGAGTAACTTTTCAAGGCCAGGGTATTTGACCCAACCCCTGGAGGCTGCTGAGTAATGCATTCATCATTAATCCTCAATGATCTGACTCAGGCTGGTCTTCACACCAAGGGGACAAGGGTTGAAAACAAGCACTGAAGTTCAAACAGAGCTTCCCATTTACTTACAACTCTTTAGATTACATACTTTAATACTCTGAGGTCAAAACTTCAACACATAATTGTACAAAAGACTAAAAACTACTCATAATAATTTAATGTTTCTAAAGCAGTAGCTCTTTAAATAATATAATTGTTTCTAGCTACTAGATCAGAAAAATCATAATTGTCTTGAGCTGGTAAAACAGGATATTTTCCACTCTGCTGCATTTCATTGAGTAAGCATGGCCTAAATCTTTTAAACCCTTTTACCTGTTAGGACGTTTTATTCTAGGAAAATGTGAGCACAGAGCATTTTTTCAAAGGAGAGTAAAATGTGAAAACTGCTTTATGAGAAAAATCAAAAGAACAAATTTGAAGGCCACATATTCTTCCTTTGCACTACATACCAAGTTGCTAGTGTCCACTCAATACAAAAGATACCAGGTATAAACACTAACGCCCCCAAATAAAGTTGTGCCTGAAACTAACAAGAAATGATGAATAGGTATAATTTTTCACTTTACATTAAGAAACAAAATCAGTAATTTGGGCTAACTAGGAAACAATTCTACCTGAATAGAAATATGAATTATATAAACCTAAGACAATGCAGCCTTTGTGATCCTAATCATAAATCAAAGCAACTTACATAAATGATTATTCTCTAAATATCAAATGAATTGTATATAAGGGCAGCTTTGCAGTAATTTGAGGGAAGTTTTTCATTAAGTAATTTAAATTTCCTAGGCAATATCCTCAATTCAGTTATCTGCATTGGAAATACTTCATAAAATAGTGCAAAAGCAAATTTCAGCCCAAGCATTATCCTAACTACTGTAAAACCTGAATAGGTAGAAGACAAATTAACAAGACTTTTATTATATTGGTAATCTTGATTAATGTCACAATTTTTCCAAGAAACTTCATATGCTATCTCATCATTTCTATCATTTCTAAAAGATAGTCATAGAATGACTATCTAGATTTATATCATATGGGGGCAGAGAAAGGCATAGTTCCTGGGAAGAAAGGCACAGGTCCACATGTAGGAACCAGGACAGGGAGAGGAAGCTGATGATAGGAAACAATCAAATTTATTATCCCTCCTATCCATATTGATTCTAATTTATAGAAGTAATCAATATGAACAGTTTTGATGGTGTTTAAATTTGCAACACACTGGAAGAATACAGAAGCCAACACTTCTAGGTAAACCCTAAATAAGATAATCAGTTTTCTTCATTCGTTTCCCACCTCCTTCCTAGCACACATACCCGCTTCACCCCACCGGTTCAACATCCTCTGGTTCAACACCCTGAGCCAGAGACAAAAGCTTCCCAATGTTTTCAATCTGTGGTTCCCAGACCAACATCATCAGCATCACCTGGGTACTTGTGAGAAACACAAATTCCTGGGACTCATACCCCAGTCTCACTTTATCAATATATTGGGTAATACAGTGGTCCAGCAATGGGGGTTTTAACAGATCTTCCATGTGATTCCAAAGCACAAGTTTGAGAACTACTGCTGTAAAACAAGCCAGTTATCTTAACAGGGGATGTGTCCCAGTAGGAATCTAAGAAGAAAGAAGTACCTAGTTGAAGTAGCAAGCAGGGTAGTTCAGATAATCTTGCCCTCCTCCAAGTTACATACTTGGCTTTTGCTCTAAATCCTCACCTACACAATAAAATAAAAAACTTCATTTTGTAAATTCACTGTTTAATTAACTTTTTCAGTAACATATCACCCAAATCAAAGAAGACAAGGACAGGAACCAAAAGAGATTACAAACCAGATTGTATCTGCAATCAGAAATGTGGGTGTGTGGCATTTTGGCAAACCCAGGAAGCTATTATACAACAGATCCCTCAACAACATTCTATTGTGGATATTTTGCAACTGACATTCAATAAGACACACCATCAGAATAAATCAGTGCTTTCTATTTAGAGTGTTGGCCTATATTGTAAATTCATTATACTACATTTCTGAATGAGTAGGGGTGGTAAAGGAAGATTTCACCTTGTACCTAAAAGCTAAAACACAGAGTAAAGTGTGCTATTTTATACTGGTGGTGATGTTTACTTTAGGTTATCACTAATAGGTCCTTTGCTTCTAAAATCCAGACCATACAAATGTCTTGTAAGGGGTTTGGATCCAAAGAATCATCGCATCTTTAAACTTGATTTTTTTTTTAAAAGAAGAACCTGACTCCAGTGCATAATCAATATAATTAATTTCCATATCACTGTATTCTGGCCAAAAGAAAAAGAACGCTTTGCAGAATCACATTTTCAAGCAGTTTCACACAATCAAAAATAATTTCATTTTCAAAGTACCCACTTGGCAGGTACATACTGTCTTCTAAAAAATTAATTGCATTCTGTACTAAGTTAGAAAATCATTGTTATTCTTTAGCACACATGTAGCAATTCATAAACTCCTTTGCAAATGCATCTATTAGATATAATAAAAGGGCATGAGGAGAATGCACAACATATGAAATGGATTATATTTAAATTTACACATATTAGATAAAAGTATATGTAAGGCAATGACACACAAATGCTTCCCTCTCTCACTTCTACCTTTATAACAAGGAAGTAGGAGACCTCGGGAACAAGCTTAAACAAAAATCATATGACCTACAAAATAAACTGGGTTTTTATTTTTTTTAAATATTTTATTTTATATAATTCTCACATCATTTTTCATCTTTGCACAATGTATGCATTTTCATTATGGTTATATTCCCCATATAATTGCACCCCCCCTTATTTTGACTCTAGTCCTTCCTCTCCCTGCCCCTATCCCCCCTCTGGTTTATAGTTGCTTGTTGATTTTGATTTTTACTTTGTATTGATTAGTCTTTTTCTTGGTCTCTTATTTAAGTTTTCTAAATTCCTACTATGAGTGAGACCATCCAGCATTTTTCTTTTTCTTTCTGACTTATTTCGCTGAGCATGATCCCTTCTAGCTCCATCCACGTTGCTGCAAACTGCATGTGTTTATCTTTTTTGATTGCTGAGTAATATTCCATTGTGTATATGTACCACATCTTCTTGATCCAGTCATCTATTTTTGGGCATTTGGGTTGTTTCCATAGCTTAGCTATTGTAAATAGTGCTGCTATGAACATAGGCGTGCAGGTGCCCTTTGGAATTAATGTTTCTGTGTCATTTGGGAAAATACCTAGGAAAATGGATTAAAGAACTAGACATAAGACCTGAAACCATAAAATACATAGAAGGAAATATAGGCAAAACACCACATGATATGCACATCAAAGACATCTTTACAGACACATCACCCAAAGCAGTGATAGTGAAGGCAAAGATCAACAGCTGGGACTACATCAAATTAAAGAGCTTCTGCACAGCAAAAGAGACAATAACCAAAACAAAGAGAAACCCTACCGACTGGGAGAACATTTTTGCACACAACACTAATGATAAAGGACTGATCACAAAAATCTACAAAGAGCTGATGAGACTCAACAAAATCAAAGAAAATAATCCAGTCCAAAAATGGGCAGAAGAGCTAAAAAGAAATTTCACCGAAGAGGAAATGCAAATGGCCAACAGGCATATGAAAAAATGTTCAACATCACTTGTAATCAGGGAAATGCAAATCAAAACTACCATGAGATACCATCTTATACCAGTGAGAATGGCACATACTAAAAAAAAACTAGCAACAACAAATGCTGGCGAGGTTGTGGAGAAAAAGAAACTCTCCTGCACTGCTGGTGGGAGTGCAAACTGGTCCAACCACTATGGAGAGCTGTGTGGAGATTTCTTGACGTACTAAACATAGAGCTTCCATATGATCCAGCAATTCCATTCCTAGGTATTTACCTAAACTGGGTTATTAATTCTTAATAGTAATTAAATAATATCTTAACATGAAAAATAACTAAGGTAACTATATATAACAGCCATGTAAGTGAATCTGATCGTCAATGTCAGAAAACTCAGATGAGTGGGTCTGATTT